GGAGCTAGGTTGTGTTACCACATCATGGCCCCCTTAGAGAGCATTTCCCTGAACTTCTTTAGTAAGACATACTCGATCTCGTCATCCTTCATATCGTTGCCCTTTACTGCGCAAGTGTAGGCAGTAACGTGTTCATTGGGGTCTGAGGTCCCATTGTACTTTGGAAGTTATGGAATTTTGAACTTCTTTGGAATGGGTTTCGGGACCACTTCCTCGGGGAACGGCCTTTGTATGAACTTCTTCAAATCCACACCTTGCAGGACTGGGGGTGCTCCCGGAATCTGGTCGACCCTGAAGTTGTAGGTCTCGACCTTCTTATCGTTGGCTTCTATCATTTTCTCACCCAATTCAATCCTTTTGGTGAGGTCCATGAGCATTTTTATGATGACAGGGTCGGCTATCGACCCATTATTGCTCGATATCTCCGGTACCTGTTCGGCTGGGGGAGCTGTCCCAGGTGCTACCGTGCTAGGAGTTTTCTGGTGACTTTGCAGCTGAGCAATATCTAGTTGTTGTGCCTGCAACATTTCAAAAATAACATGAAGGCTAACCTCCCGTTCTTTCCTAGTTGGGGTTTTCTGAGCTTCTTGTTGATCCCCTTGGTGCACGCTCCTGTTAGTGTGGGAGCTTATGTTGATGTGCTGGGCGTCGCACACTGCATCCACGAGGACTGGTTTCGGTGCATTCCCAGGGTTTTATGGTGGCACACCAACATCTGGAACAACCACACTATTTTCCATGTGGTCCTCAAGATTGTTGTTTGCACCTCCATTTACCGAGTTAGACATTTTGACCTGAAATCGAAGATCTTGGACAAGAAAAAGCGTGAAAGATAACTTGCATTGTGTGACGAAACCAGCAAGAAAATAATCACTATTATTTTTAGCCCCGTAGAGGGCGCCAAACTGTTTACCATGAAAATGGTAATAATAATTAAATTTGTTGATGAGACTCTAAAAATACGTGATCTATTATTATGCTAGTTAGTTAAGCAGTTGATGATAGATATGTGAGAGTTAGAGGCAAAATAAAGTTAAGGAGAGAGCTATAATCAAACCGATAGGTCAGTTATTCGGGGCCTCGAGCTTGTCGATCTGGAGCCTCGAGGTCGATCCCGGGGCTCGACTACGAACTATCAAGGGTAATCAGGATAGGGCTAACAGTTATAAAATCATCAACGAAGGCTCTTTATGTCAAATAATAAGCAATAAATGATGAACAAATGTGAAGATAATAAATGAAAGCAATAATATCAAGAGAGTATATGAGAGAGCAAAGAGAATGTTCTTCTATATTGCTTATGGAGTAGCTGGAGCAACAGAGAGAGTTACAAAATGTCAAAGACCCCCTTTATATAGGAGGGGAATCCCAACATAGTACAAAAACATTAATTACAAAAATAGGGGGGATGGCACAACTATATGGCACCAGGCTCTGCTAGTACAAGCTGCATGCCTTGGGAACTCCCCATTCCCATCATGACCGCGACCAACATTGTCGCTAGGTCGGGCGTCAACGAACCACGAGGGAGAGAGCTCGACCACAGCCTCGCAGCCTCGAGGTCTCGAGATGATCTCCTGAAATGCCTTAATGACGAGAAATTAGACCCTCCGATTTCGCCGTATACAGATTCTCCTCGTACTGCAGGTATACCAACTCCTCTCCCCTATTGTCACAAAGAGGCCTGAGAGATTTCTCCCCGTCCAAGGATTTCCTCAACATGGCTTCATAGCGGAGCAGCTCGGACTTGAGCTTTTCAAAGGCCGATGAAAAAGAAGCTTAATGAGAAAACGAAAATGTTAAATCAAAACACCAACAAAGTCAACCAAAACTCACCACAAAACAAAGCCACTGGGCCTCCTCAAAGGTTGAGCGTGCATCTACTGGCCTGGTCTCACCGACCCCAGTTAAACCGATCTCAGTAGGGACATGGTCGCTTGAGACCCCGCTTGATTTAGGCAGCCCCTGATCTTGAACATCCCCCGATGTACCTTTGGCAGAAATGTGGATGACGGCTGAACACATATATCCCTCGAAGTACCTTCGACGGGAAAGGAAAATGGCGGCAAAGGAGGAACCATTTTTCCGAGGCTAGAAGCTTCAGATGCCGCAGGCTCAGCCGATACATCTTCTTTGAGCCTTCGATCAGGGCCTGCTTCGCTATGAGCACCTTCATCCTTTGAGGACTCCTTCCATTTGTTATCAATCCTCAGCCCCGATGCCAACGATCCTTCCTCCGCCCCGAGGGGGCAAGATCTCATTTCGGAAAATCCTTGAATGCCTACGATGACAGAGTTAGTACACATAAAAGAAAGTACCTTTAAAAGAAAACAAGCCACATAGCACGCACCATGGTGTTTTTCCTCCCATCTACCCTTGGACAAATCTCTCCATTTACGCTTATCATAAGTCCAGCAAGCCGCCAGTTTTCGAGACCAATCCTCCAGATCGGGAACCTCGTATGGTATCCACGGGATTTCTACAAAAAAAAGGAAAGCGTCTTTTGCAGAATCCGCCTCCACTGTGGGCAAAAATAGTAAGAACACAAGTGTACCACTTACGTGTGAAATTCCATTTCTCAAGAAATAGGAGTAACTCTGCGTGGATAATATCGATGGTCCGTACTCGGATGAATCGACTTATCCGTCCTCGGTCCCCGTCTTCTTCATTGCTAGCAACAAAAGGTTGGGTGGAGCGCGCAAAGTAATTAGGCCTCGGTAATAGAAAGGCTGGTACAATCTAATAATATGGTTGAGGGTGATCTCGAGCCCCGCTTTATCTGCAAAATACCTTACCATCAGCACTATCCTCCAAAACGATGGGTGAACCTGTGCCAAGGTAACCTGATATCTTCTACAAAATTCGAGCACGGCCCTATCGAGGGGGCCTAGTGTGAAAGGGTACGTATATACGTTCAAAAACTCCTCGACATGAGCCATGATGCTTTCTTCCGGGGAAGGTACCTGTAGTACCACATTTTCTCCCCATCCGCAGTCTTTTCTAACTGCCTCGAGGTGTTCCTCCCCTATTGAGGAGATAAACCTCAATACATGATCCTGATGGCCCTGAACATTGGGAGGTCTCTCTAAAGTAAAGTCCTTCCTTGAGACGAAGCATCTCAAAGTTAGCTTATCAGACACCGGCGGTGTACCACCGACCGAGTGTGAAGCAGAGGCGAAGCTCTCCTCTCCTTGGTGAATGGATTTGGACGTAGCAGCCATGGCTATGGTTAAATAAGAAAAGGAAGATGAAGACTTGGGCGAATGCTTTGAGCTGAAATGATAAGAGAACTGGCAAAAATAATAAGAGATGTATGAAAGGGATAGTTATTCAAAGTAGGGAGTCCCAAGATAAGAAACAAGCAAATGCATATATATAGCAAGTAACGGTTGTTTGCCTATCCTGACGGCCAACTAATTCTGACCATGTCAGTACCATTTTTGGGGAAGTGTACCGGTGGGGCCACCCCAGTCACTTCGCAACCGTGTCACATAAATGACACTATCATATAGCACTCGGTAGCCATTGTGACCCCAAGGATTTCTGTTATTACAAGCATCGGTTCTAAAAACCTATCGACCTAATCTCGAGATGGTGCTCTATCCTGACGGTCGCGATTACTCGAAGTATGGGCTCCGAAGAGCCAATATCAAAGTCCAAAGTCTAACTCCACGTAAACGATGAAATATAAAATTCAAAGACTTGAAGTAGAAAAATCTTCTTACATTACCAAAAACATTTTAACAAGGAGGTGCCTTTACAAAACACTTCCCCCTGAAAAATTCAAACACAAAAAATAAAGGAATACGACATGGGTCTATTCCTCACCATCACTACTCTCTGGATCATCTCCGGAACCCTCGTCCGAAGTGGCCGAAAATGCTGATTCTTCCTCCAAGACTCGGGCTTCCTCAATCTCATCTGAGAGATCGGCTCCTTTAGCTCTTGCTTCCTCGAGAGCCTGCCTCCTTTCCTTTGAACGAGCGTAAGTGATGGCCCGAGTCAGCTTCTGCTCGGCCTTCTCTGATATCTCTAAGGCCCGTTCATTCATGTAGTGGCATCTTTCATGTATGAAGATACATTTTCTTCATCCTCAGACTTGGCCACAGATAGTGCAACAACCTCCTTTTGAGCACTCTGAAGAAGACCCTAGATCGATGCCAACTCTGACCGCAAAAGGTCTCTCTCCGAGGTCACGGCCTCATTTTGCCGAGGATCTCCGCATTCTTGGATGCAACCTCTTCCTGAAGTTTCCCCACCAGGGCATCCTTTTGTCCAATCTTCAAAGGCAAAACAAGTTGGTGAGCATCGAATTATAAGAACAAAAGAGGTGAGTTCATGGATGCCATGCTACCTGCTCAGCAAGGCCAGCCCTTTCCTGGCACGCTCCCTCCAAACTCGCCCAAAGCTTGCTCAACTCCTCCCCCTTTTGGGCAGAGGAGGCCTCCAACTCCTTCAACACCAAGGTGAGCTTCTCGAGCGTCTTCCCACAACACGGAAGCTCATCTTGTAGCCTAGAAAAGGAATGTTCATACATTTTCTTAGCCTGCAATAATATGGAAAAGTTAGAAAGTTAAGAACAAAGATTTAAAGTGCAAATGAGATGTCAAGAGTATCACCTGCTACTGAAACCTCTATGCCTCCTCGAGAGCAATAGAAGCATCGAGATTAATTTCCTCATCAACACCGGTGAAGAGGTCTACGAGTACATCTTCCCCTCCATGAGAGGCCCCCATATTGGAGGTATCCGGGTCCTATGCTTCCTTGATTTCACCGAGTGAGTACGAAGGGCCCAAATTAAGGCCGCCTAGAGCATTAATTTCTCTAAGGGTCTCATCGTGCCCCCGAGAACCATCGGGTTCAGGCCCTCCGGAGTTACCAGCAGCGGTTTCATTGGCACAGATTGTACCATGTTCGACTTGAAACTCGGGAACTGTGCCCATACCCCCCCCCCTCCTCGAGGGTGTCATTGGCATGGGTTTGGTCCAAATCGGCTGCCTCTAATTCAGTGGCTTTACGCCCAACAACTTACGGAGCATCTGCAACTCGTGACTTCCTTTGTACCAAAGGGCCTTCATTATCATTATCACTTTCATCCTAGGTACCGGGACTTGCCATAGCCGCTGAAGTCGATACTTTGGCATCAGTCCGAGGCCTGCGAGCTTTAGGTTTCTCCAATTTGGGAGACTCGGCCGGCGCCACCTCCCTTCCTCACCATCAGGAGATGGTCTCATCAAAATCCATCCTCGAGGCCTATACAAGCATGATGTGTCAAACTTAACACCGTAAAAGATATTCATAAGGAAACATGGTAAAGATAGCAGTAAAAAGCATACCATGGTTCTTAGCCTGCCACCGCGTTTTTGCCAAGTCATGCCAAGAAGGCTCGATATAAGGGAAAGTGGAGTCCAATTATCCGATCCATCCCGCTAGGTTCTGAACTGCGCTGGGGTACCAAATGGTGGCTGTATAATTAAAAGAAGATCATCTTTCAGAAGGGGATGAAAGGGCAATAAAATATGCTCAAGGTAGTGTCACTTACGGTTCATATTCCATCCCTCCGGTAATGACATCCTATTGGCCAGAATTATGTTCGAGGTCCTCACTCGGACAAACCGGCTCATCCACCCATGACCCTTGTCCTTATCGATGCTCGAAAAGAATGGCCTCACGGATTGAGGGTGAAGCTTGATCAAACCCCGATAGAGACGAGGGCTGTATAATCTTACCAAGTGGTTGAGGGTAAAGGTCATACCCTTGACCTGGTTGGAAAGTATCAGAGCATATAAACGATCCTCCAGAAAGAAGGATAGATCTGACCGATTGTCACTCGGTACTCATGACAAAAGTCAAGAATTACCGGATCTATCGACGGGGAAAAAGGATCCGAGGAATCTATGAAACCTAGAGTAAATGGGTATGTATACATTCTAAGAAAGCTAGCTTTGTGGTCTACTATGCTTTCCCTATAATTGGGGATCTCTACTAATAATGCCTCTTCCCATCGGCAGTCTTCCTTCACTTTATTCGTACTGGTCACCACGCTGATGTACCGAGACGCGTGCTCACATTGGCCTGGTGTAGAAGTGGGATTTTTGAAAAAAAAATCAGATACAATATCGAATTAGGTAGAAGTACATTGCTCGACAGTTAGAGGTACTTTTGGTTTACCCCTGGATGGGTGAGACAAAGAAGCAACACCCTCTTTCTGAGGTACCATTCTAGAGGTCCTAGCCATGACTATAAAAGAGGTTTTCCAAGAAAGAAAGTAAGAACACAAGCGTAGAAGGGATAAGAATGTAGAAGATGGTGAACTTGGCTCTAGAAAATTGAAGATTCTGTAAAATTGTGAATAACAGAATGTTTGAGGTATTTATAGAAGCCATATGGGCAGCGTTTGGGAAGCAAAAAGGCCTAACCAATAGCGGTTCGTGAGCTTCTTGATAGTTGCATTGACAGCGACTCCTACGCAGCCTTTGAGTCATGACATTTAATGCTCTGATGGATTGATGTCATGATGGTAGTATCGAAGAGGCAAGAATTCAAGACCGTTTCTTATCACTTTCATTCTAAGAAACGCGGGGACTATCTATATACGGTGAAAATCGGAGAGTCCGATTTTATGATCATCATGGCACTTTGTAAGACCGCCCCCAGAAGACTCGAGGCTCAGCTCAGGGTTCGACACCGAGGGTTCTCAATGGTCGACCTCGAGGCAGTGAAAATCAAAGGCTATGATGGACAAACGGGAAGTTCCCAAGGCGCGTGATCAAGCCCGTACCATGGCATTAAATAGTTGTACCAGCCTCAAATCCTTGTAATAAATGCTTCTGTACTATATTGGGATGACCTTTGTCATTTTGTAAGGGATATATAATACACAACATTCAATATAGAAACATTCTTTGCTCTCTAACTTTAACACATTCTCCCTTGATTCTATTATTTACATTTATTGCTCACATTTATTGTGTTTTATTAATTGTTCTTCATTTATTACTCATTATCGATCATATAGATCTCTTATCAAAACTCTTACAATTATTAGACCTTCATCGGTCGGTCACTGCCTAATGCTTAGCTCGTCCTTGAGGCCCCGTATAGGCCAGCTCGAGGCCACGAATCCTAGCCTCTCGGTTTGATTAATATATAGTCTTCAAGCTCTTATCTTATTTTCTGGTCTCACACTAAGGATCTACTGCCTAACAACTAGCATAAAAATAAATCACGTATTTTTAGGACCACAAAATCAAATCTAATTGTAATTACCATTTTCAAGGTATACAAGAAGCATATACCTCAAAGTTTTTTATATGAAGATACTCAAGCTCCAAAAGAAAAGCAAAATAGTATATATATATATATATATATATATAAAGCAATGCGCGGAGTCTTGTGGTAATTATAGAGATACTTTGAGGCGGTTCTATGACGGTAACTAGAGGTCAATAAGGGCTATGTGGTTTAAAAGAAGAAAAGTGTGTGTAGTATTCAAGGAGGGTACAATCACTATATTCCCAAATATTCATCCAACCCGTCCCGAAGCCTACACTACAACCCTTAGAAAGTCCTTTTTGATGTACAACCAATTATTCCTGAGATAGCAATGAGTTAAAATAAGGGCAAGCGTGTGGACTGATACTTGTAGCACTTAGCCTTCTTTCTAAGTGCAAGAGTGTTTGATTATATCCCCTGTACATATTTGTTGAGGTTGGGATTTTCTTTGCTGTGAGCACGTATGGATTCAAGAGTTAGCAAAAATTAGGCTTCTTGAAGTAGGATACAAATGCATATCTAGTTATGGGTAGCACCCTGTCATTGCTCTTGAGGCTCGAAGCTCACAAACTGATTATTCAAACTTTTAAATGATCTTCGTCTTCAAAGAAGGGTGAATAAAATAAGTTGCATGCTTGTTAGCTAACAGTCAGCACCATCCATAGTCACCGCTGCTTTGTAATCAGTCCGAAGTAGATTCATATTTGGTAGGTTGACTTTTTAGTTGCTTGAGGGCAAGCAAGAGTCTAAGTTGGGGGTGTTGATGTGCCATAGAATTGGGGCATTTTTTATACTAATTACATAGACTTTAGCTAATCTTTTAAAGCATTATAATTCATTTCTTATGTAGTTTTCGTGTTTTTGCAGAAAACCATACTTGAAGAGCCAAGAACATGAAAAAGATGACAAAAACTTATGGAAAGGCAGAAATACGACAGGTGTGCGACCGCAAAAGTGATGTGCTGGCCGCAGACCAATCGCAGAATGAAGTAGACCATCCCAGATCTGAGAGTAAATTTTGCGATCCATTATGCAGTGGCATAACTCTTGTGCAGACCGCCTAATAATCGCACAAATGCAACAAGAGTTCCAGTGAAGATGACTTTACGGTACGATATGCGATCGCAGAATCAATATGCGGACCATATAAACAAAACGCGATAAAAAATTGGAAAACTGGGTGATTAATTCTGCGAAGGAAATGAAGATGTTCGGACCGCAAAAACCTTCTATGACCCATTATGCAGTCGCAAACTTTATCTGCAGGGTCATTTTTGACACTTTTTTACCACGACTTTTAGCCCATTATAAATAGAATGACTAGGGTTTTAGTTGACCATCTTGTCTGAAAAGGAGGCTACACTTAGAGCATTGAATACACCATTATTTTGGAAACTTTTGAAGAGAGAATCTTGTCATCTTTGTAAGCTTTATGACTTTATTTATTGCTTTGTTCTTGGATTCTACTATGAGTAGCTAGCTTTAAATACTAAGGTTGTGGACCCTAAATGTATGTAATGTTAATGGGTATTTACCATTGAATATATATATAATGGTTAGTTGATATCTATTCATTTTTTATGCTTTACTTATTGTTGATGGTTGCAAACATTAACTAGTGCCATTCTACTCTATCTTTACTTGGAAAGTGAGTTAAGATTTGGTAGAATTGAATAGCAAAAACTCAACGCTTTAAACCTTGTTTAATAGAATCGCTAATGAATAAGTGGGTTCTATTTGGCATATATTGATTGTTCTTAATTGTAACTCTTTTATATTTGAAAAAAATCATAGAGAGAAAATACTACCTAATTGTTGGAAAAAATTGAGTAGTCATTTAGGAACCATTTGCATATCAAAGGACCTTCCATTAGAAATATATCATATTAACACCGATAGCACTACATTCCATTGGTAGGGACACAACCTTGATTTCCTTAATCAAATTAATAACATTCTCTTAAGAAAATAGTTCTCTTGATAATTCACAATTACAACACTCTTCTTAAACTAACGGAGTAGGATTACGACTTAAGTCAAGTTTCACACTACTCAAGTAACATTTTCATACCTATTTCCAGTGGGATTCGACCTCAACCTAGTTGGGTTATTATATTTGATATTGACCACCTTACACCATCAATTTATGTGTAATTTGAGCGTATCACCTTAATAGAATAGAAATTGTAGTCATCAAAGAAGAGACCTAGGCCTATATAAAGGGTTCTCTTGCCTTGTAGACTGCAATTCACGTTTTTGGAGGTTTTTCCCTAATTTGCAATAGAGTATTTTCTCTATTTTGTGTTCTTTATCCGTGCTTTTGATTGCAAGCAAGGTGATGATACTATTTATCTTGTTTCAATTGCGTGTGATGTTTCTTTATCACGTTAATTGATTTCAAGCGGTAACTTTAGGAATTTTTTTAGTTCTTGATCTTTCAAGAACATCTTTCTTGATCTAAATTCGTTATTTTGATATCATAGAATAATAACTTTCATGGAACTGGTGCAACATCAATATTTACTTGTTATGAATGAGTAAATAGTGTTTCATATAGTTCAGATCGTCATCTTTCACCTCATTTATTGAATCATCAGATTTCGAGTCCTAAAACTTGATATATGTTATTTCTCTAAGTAGATCCACAAACCACGTTTACATTTCAAGATTTTGATCTTGGTCGGTTGGTTCTTTGTTAACTCAAAAAATCACATCATTTACCTAGCGGATTGAATTATGTGTCATCATGACTAGATGGATTTTGGGTCATAATAGAAATAAAGTTTGAAGACACATTGACCTTCCTTAGGGCAGTAAACCAAGCTCAACTTTAGCCATTAGGATTAGTACTCACAGTCAACTTCAAGACAATAAACCTCGAACAGAAATGAAGAGAGGAATGAAAATGAAATTGTAAGCGATAGGTAGAGCATTTACTAATTCTTGTTTGATTGTTAGGTGAGGCATTTAAGCCGGTATTTATATTCAAAAGGTTGGCCATAGGGTTTGAGATTTGAATTCTCAGATTCAAATAGCAATAGAGAACAAAGAACCATAATGAATGCCGATGCAAGAATTCATGATAATATCAAAGGAAACGACTATAAAGATTAAAGGGGAAAGGGGTGACGTTTTACCCTCTCAGAAGAGATGAAGTAGATTTAGTCGTTTGAAGCTGATGACCTCCGGACAAAGCTTATGCCCAGAGGTCCCTACGTTTGACCTCTGTATCATCAAAAGGGAAAGGGCACAATAAATCTAGACAGTTGATAATTTTGATCAACAGTCCCTAAGCAATATGTTTGTTTTGTGAGGGCTTTAGGATGCTGATGTGGCAGAGTTGGATTGGCAGAGGGAAGATGGCATAAATTTTGAAGTGTTAATAGGGGTTGTATAGGTTTGGGCCTGGACGGGTCAAGGCATTTTTGGGCCATACCTGTTGGATTTTTGGAAGAGAAGGTTAGAAATGAAATTAATGTCATAATCACTTTAATTCAAATTCATCAATTGCAAGTATAACATGTTTAAATATTAACCTCTTTTCTTAATTAAATAATTAACTTCTTAAATTCCAATAAAATACAACAACATACTCAGTATAATCCCACATAGTGGGGTCTGGAGAGGGTTAGTGTGTACGCAGACCTTACCCCTACCTTTGTGGAGGTAAAAAGGTTGTTTCCAATAGACCGTCGGTTCAGCCAAGTATAGGTACCAAAATAATAAAAAGAAAATAAGATGGGACAACACAGAAAAATTATGTAAAAGCAGCATACAAAACAAGATAGTAAGATGATCGAAATGTAAAAATACGGCAGGTATTCAAATAAGCCTACTACCAACCAAATGCGAGAGTTCGTACTAACACTACCAGTATGAATAATCTAAACTAGATAACCTACTATCCTAATCTTTGACCTTCACACCTTCCTATCATAGGTCATGTCCTCGGTTAGCTATAGCTGTGCCATGTCATGCCTAATCAACTCACCCCAACTCTTCTTCGGCCTACCTCTACCTCTCCTAAGTCCCTCTAATGTCAACATCTCAAACCTCCTTACTGGAGAGTCTGTGCTTCTCCTCCTTACATGTCCAAACAATCTAAGGCGTGCTTCCCACATCTTGTCCTCAATAATGGCCACACCCACCTTGTCCTGAATAACTTCATTCTGAATCCTATCCAATCTGGTGTGTCTGCACATCCATCTAAACATCCTCATAATTGCTACCTTCATCTTATGGACGTGAGAGCTCTTGATTAGACAACACTCAGTCTCATACAACATATTAGGTCTAACCACCGCTTTATAAAACATACCTTTAAGTTTTGGTGGTACCTTCTTATCACACAAAACACCGAAAACAAGTCTCTATTTAATCCATCCTGCCCCAATACGATGTGTGACATCTTCATCAATCTCCCCATTCCCCTGTATAATAGAACCAAAGTAGTTAAAACTTCCCCTCCTATGAATAGCTTGTGAATCAAGCCTTACCTCCTCTTCTACTCCCTGAGTAGCTCCACTAAACATACACTCAAAGTATTCTATCTTGGTACTACTCAGCTTGAAACTTTTATACTTTAGGGTCTGACTCCATACCTCTAACCTCGCGTTAACACCGTCTCGAGGTTTGTCAATCAAAACAATTTCAACTGCAAATAACATGCACCACAACATCTCCCCTTGTGTGTGGTTAGTCAATACGTCCATTACAAGCGCAAACAAAAAAGAGCAGCATGCCGACCCTATATGCAAACCCATCAAAACCGAAAAATGGTCTGAGAACCCTCCCATTGTCCTCACAAAGGTCTTCGCTCCATCATACATGTCTTTAATCACCATAATGTAGGCCACAGGTACCCCTCTAGCCTCCAAACATCTCCACAAAACCTCTCTCAGGAATTTATCATAAGCCTTTTTACAATCGATGAACAACATATGAAAGTCCATCTTCCTCTCCCTATATTGTTCCATCAATCTCACAACAATATGAATGGCTTTTGTAGTCGAACGCCCCGGCATAAACCCAAGCTGGTTCTCAGAAATAGACACCCCTCTCCTCACCCTTAGTTCCACCATCCTCTCACACACCTTCGTAGTATGACTAAGCAGCTTAACACCCGATTGTTATTGCAATGTTGTATATCACCCTTATTCTTGTACAAATGAGCCATCTTGCTCCATGTCTACTCTTCGGACATATATTTCATCTTAAAAATGACATTAAATAACCTAGTAAGTCACTCCAAGCCCGTCCTTCCCACACTCTTCCAAAACTCTACCGGGATTTCATCTGGCCCGGTCGCTCTACCCTTACTCATCTTACCCATAGCCCCAACAACCTCCTCAACTCTAATCCGCCTGCAATACACAAAGACACAATGACTCACAGAGGATCCCAAATCACCAAGAAAAATGTCTATGTTCCCATCCTCATTTAAGAGACTATGGAAGTAAGTCTACCATCTCTGACGGATATGCGCCTAATCCAACAAAACTCTACCTTCTTCGTCATTGATGCAATTCACTTGGTTCAAGTCACGGACCATTCTCTTTCTCACCATGGCTCGCCTAAACAGCCTCTTATCCCCGCCTTTTACCCTCAAGTTTTTCATATAAATGACTAAATGCTGCAGTCTTAGCCACCATAACTGCTACTTCGCCTCCTTCCTAGCCAACATATACTGCTCCTTATTCGTCTTCTCCTCATCGTTAATGCTTTCCACTAGCTTGAGATACACCGCTTTCTTGGTGTTCACCTTTCTTTGGACCTCTCCCTTCCACCACCAGTCTCCATTGCGACCACCATTGTAACCCTTTGAGACCCCTAGGACCTCTCTGGCAGCTTCCTTAATCCACAGCGCTGCTGTGGTCCACATCAGGCTCACATAACCACTACTCCTCAAAGCTTCCATAATCAACTCATGCATTTCGTATTCAGTCAAGGCTCCCCACTAGATCCTAGGTTGGCCATACACCGTCCTTTTCCTCTTCTTCCTCATGATCTCAAGGTCCATGGTCAGGAGCCTATGAAGGGTCGTGAGGTTCTCACTTGGGATGACCTTGCAATCCGTGCAAAGACCTTTATTAAACCTCCTGCAGAGAAGATAGTCAATTTGGGTCCTGGCCACCGAGCTCCGGAATGTGACCAAATTTTCCACCTTATTCGAAAAATTTCATTAAAATAATAAAGTATAATTAATAAATTATTATATGTATGCATATTTGTAGGTTAATTTCATATTAATCAAAACAATTATATATATATATCACCCACCTTACATGACCACAAACAAAAAAACCTTTTTACAGCAAATGAGACTATTGCGCATGTAAAACCACTGACAACAACACCCCAAGGATACACATATAGAATCTCAAAGACCTAAGCAGATTACCAAATCTAGGGAAAAACAATAACACACACATTACTAAAAATAGAGACATTACCATGGACACTACTACAAAAAAGCCTGCCATGCATGAAATCATTATCCATTGTGAAGCCAACTCCACCCTATTACCTATGCTACCTCTGCCACTACCAAATCCCATCACTCAACATCTCTCAACTCTCCCCCATAAAACAAAATCCGAAGCAAACATCACCCGGTCACCCCCATAATAACCCCTACCACAATCTATTACAGAGACCAAATCCCCATCATCCCCACCCCTAAAAATGTATTTCCATTACAGCCACCGTACCAACCACCACAGCTAGCAATGCCACCACCATCCCTGACACAACAGAGACAATACCATAACTTCCCATGAAAACACAGTCACACCAAAACGACCAACTACTATGTTTAAACCACAGTAGTCCTAATACCAATCCCCATGGCAATACAACATCAACCTGCAATGCTATTAGTCATGCACCAGCCACCATCAACTCCATGGCTAGATGTAGTGGGGCTTCACCAGTATGCCCAATTCTTCTTGGAGAACACACAGTACCTTATCGAGCAGATGGAGGGATGAGGGACAAATATAGAAATACACATGGAAACAATACACAACCTGGAAATAGCAGCGATGGAGATGGTGAACCACCTTAATGCAGCCATGCAACAACCACCACAAGTGCAGGGATACTACCAGCTAGTGTAGGTATAGGAGGTCCAATAGGTACAAGAGGTACAACAGGTTCATACAACCCCAAAAAATAACTGGTTTATCTCATAACCGAAAATACAGGAGATAGCTTTGCCAAACAATCTGGATATAGAGGTGGATGCACTCCAATGGAGCCATTGCGCCCTTGAATTCGGAAGACGATATAATCATCCTAATGAACCTAGAAGTTCAAGCACCAAGCACCCTAGATCAAGTGCTGCAACCCATCACACTGAGGGAGTCACTGTCGACCACACTACGTGAAAATAAAGAAAATGGTACTTCATCAAATTTCCTAAAAAATATATTCTGAATAGCAGTTAATGTCCTCACCTACCCCTACTCGATCATACAAAAATATGCAGCACTGATTCTTCCAATATTGACAGAGGAAGACCTGTCATGGCCAGCGAATAATGGTGAGGATTATCTGTTGGTTGCACATCTGCGCATGTCACTGGCATAGGGTGAGAGCTCACACCTAACCAATAACCCCAAAATGAAGATCATCCTTTGGAACTGCAGAGGCTGCAATAACTAAGAAATTCGGCGCAACTTCAAAGACATTATTGATTGGAACAACCCATCAACTATCTACCTCACCAAATATACATGCAGATCCACTATGAGCTCATGGAATTTATTGGTTTCACTGACTTGTTTGAAATTAGCACAGATGGCTACTCAGGTGCAGTCGTACTAATGTGGAAGCATGAGGAATTAGAAATGGATCTGGTAGAAATAATTGACCAGGAAATCCATGAAAACATCCAGGTCAGTTTACGCGACACTTTATTAGTGAACAAGAAAATTCTATGGAATAATCCGCAAATAGTTGCAAAAAATAACACATACTCGTGGCTATTATGAGGAGACTTTAATGATGTATGGCCATAAACAGTAGTAGAAGTACCGTCTTTTAAACTATCTTGATGTTACTGATATGATTGACTTGGGTTTTGTGTGACCATGTTTTCCATGGAAAAATGAAAAGAAAAAAGGTAGCAACAAATCTTGGAAAGATTAGACCGATTTCATGAAAACTCAGATTGGGTGGAAATGTGTTATGCCCCAAAACCGGGGAGGCGAGACAAGCACCCAGTGCCTTACTTAACCGAGCATACCAACTTGAGACTGAGGGACTCTGAACATACAATGTCATACTTTGCTCATAGGATCATATTGCAAGATAATTTGTGAAAAAAAAATATAAAACTAAGTGGAAACTTAATGTGACTGAACATAAATATAAAGCTTGGCTGACAAGGCGGTCATAACTACTAAAGCTGACAAACAAACAAAAATATGCATACAAGGCCTGCAAGCCTAACATACTGCACTGATTGACATGACATGTTTACAAGCCTCTACTGATGGTTATACTATGATCGTAACAAAGCCCCGACCTACCCGTAATATATATACATATATACACAATATGTACTCAATATGTACTCAAAACCTAGACCCGATGACTCCGAAGGACGTGGAGCTTACCGATCAAGCTGATCACGGACAATACATATGGAGGAGGTCTACCAGTCTGTCTATTCGAACCTGCATGCATGAAATGCAACGTCCCCAAAAAAGGGACATTAGTACAAAATAATGTATCGAGTATGTAAGGTAATAGAATAACTAAAAGCCGAAACTGAGATGATAATGTAATAACTGATAGTAACTGGAAGTCAAAAATGATCTAGAGATATATCTACCTGTTGATATTGACTCAAATCTCTCAATATAAAAAGTAAATAGTTGTCCGACCCTATAACACTAGGTACGTGTAACTGCTCGGCCATAATAGGTTCGCTTGTAGGCGTTTCACCATATTAGGCATTGTATCTCGACCATTCTTGGCTCGCTCATAGGCACTCGGCCATAGTAGGCTTGGTATATAACTTACCATCTGATCAAAGGTTGCCCAATAGGGGCCTCTCCACTGATTATAGCTCGATGGTGGTAAAATATTGTAATACTATATATATATATATATAGACCCTATACTCTCCTGACTAGAAGAAGACAATACTTAACTAAATATAAAGTCCCGATAAGGGAATATATGATAACTTATGAGACTATGATAATGTATATAAATTCAGGAATACGAACGTCTCTCTATATCTCGTTATCAAACAGATGTAGTTACGAGATCCTGACAAAATGAAGGAAAAGTTTAGCCTTAACATAACTTATTACAATATTTCCAATAACCATGTTGAACTCGTCTCTTTGCACCTTAAGATAAAACAATGATAAACAATTATTAAGTTACGAAAGGTACGACTATCGCACAACGAACGACAAGTTTACTTCCTCCCAATTCGTGCTAACACCAAAAACACAAGAACACAATAATAACCACATATATACATTATTTTACAACGTTATATCCATCACAAAACACCACAAAACAGGCCAACACATCCTAATCTCTTCATATGCAAAACAACCACCATAGTAGTGTCAAACAACCCGAAAATGTTACTACGAACGACCAGCCAACCACCCCACCTTTATGTAGTATTTCTCCACAACCTTTCTCCTCCAACACTGTATAAAATTGTATCAAAACACACAATTCAACAGCAACACGAAACAACCTAAAAAATAGTCCACTTCAAGTTGAAATACTCGAACTCACAAATTCCGATCATCGTCTTGTGAGTTCTTACAATTATAGAACGACATTCCATTCATTTCCAGCAAAAAAAAAATTGACGAAAGAGAGCAGTATACTTACCTTATTTGTTGAATATCTTAGATCCTATCTTGGTTCTTCAAACCCTAGGTTTTCCTCCAAATAGAACTTGAAAAGAAGAGAAAATCAATTAGGGTTTGTGTTCAATTTTTTGGGAGGATTTTTGTGGGGGCATATCTCTGGTTTATATGCCCTATCATTGGTGTGGTATATAAAGGAAATAGGACCTTAAAAGGTCTCTTTGGAAGACCCA